ATTATTCCTCTAATATTCTACCTAACCATGCTAATGCCATAGAAAGCAGTACTATGAGTGATTTATCATTGATCAATACTTATCATATACATATATCTTATCCTATGACTTACCCCTGTTATGAGTAGAATATTGGTTACGGTTTACTTCTTCTTCAATAGTATAAGTTATCAATGCATGTCCATGCTAGACCTTCCCTGTGGTAAAAATATAAATAACGATACCTGGAATACTCTCGGATAAAATGCTACAATGGTATATTATCTGTGCGCTTGTAGATCCTTTTTATTCATATATTTATTCTTTCTAGTCACATAATTAATAAAGAACTGCTTAGTATTATTCTAGTAGTAATGCTATGTAGTACTAACAAGCATTCCTGGTGCTGTTACTATGGGCTAGATTTAAAACTCTGTTCTTAGTAGCGACACTAAGAAATGTCAACAAGCATCTCTGGCATTATCACTAGATATGACAACCTAGTAAAGTAATGTTAGAAGATATATGTTTATAATAGGTGATTACTAGACAAGTGACAAGTTCATAAATACCAACAGTAAGTCAATGACACGAGCAATCCACTAGAGTTACCTTTCGGCTCTCCACCGGGGAAGGTACAAGACCCCTCACAATCACCGGGAGATGGCCATGAACAATCATCAACTCGTGCTAATGCTCTTTCGCTGCTCCAAACCATCTAGGTGGTGGCAACCACCAAGAGTAATAAGAAAAACCGCAACGATGCAACCACAAGTGCCACTAGATGCGCCAACACGATGCAAATGCACTTGGATGCTCTCCCAACTCACTTGGATGAACAACAATCAAGAGAGATACGTGGGAGCGTGGTGTTTCTCAGCTTAAAGGGATGTTAATAATGTCAAATGGCCAAGAGAGACACCCCAAGGCCAGCCATGGTCTATTTATAGACCCCCAACAAAATCCAACCGTTATGCATCTCGGGGTTGACCGGACCCTATGACCGGACCCTGACTAGAGTTTTGTTAGGTGAGTCCGATCGCCCCTGCTAGCCTATCACAGCGTGCCACGTCGCTGCTTTTCAAATTCGACCGTTGCCGCTCTCGCGTGCGTGCCAGCCAAGGACTAGACGCGCTCCTCGATCAATCGGGGACCTAGGGCGCCCTAGAGTTCGGTCGAGTATAGAGAGCTCCTAGAGCGCTAAAACTACGATCGGACGTGTCAGATCAGTAATGACCAGACCCATTGCTAAGTCCGGTCCTTCTCTGTTGATTCCCGAGCGCTGCTAAATCATGATGGGACTCTATGAACAATGTTCACACAGGGTCCGGTCCTCCTTCACCCACTGAGTCCGATCGAAGTCTCACGATCACACCTTCTCTGGACCGAGTGACCGGACGCTGTGGCCAGCGACCGGACGCACCCCTGCGCAGAGTCTGGTCCTACTGCAGTCCAACCCGAGAGCTAGGGTTTAGGACCGGACTCGCCATAGCAGAGTCAGGTCAACCCGAAGCCAGGGTCTAGTCACTAGAAACTTCTCCTTTTTCAACTCCAAACACTCCACCCTTGTGCATGTGTGCCAACTCCAAGTATTGCAACACATGTATACGTGAGTTAGCAACAATCTAAGTTAATTCCCAAGGATGTGTTAGCTCATTAGGATCTAATGCACATGCAATCGAGTTAGATCACCTAATGGCACTTGACAACCGCATCAACTATGATTTCTGCTCTCTTCATAATATGACTATCAATCCTAAACACATTTACACCCTCTATGGTGTCATAAGTGCCAAAACAAAAACCTATTTGATATCTTTGCCTTGATCAACACTTGGTTTTTGTTTTTCTCTTTCTTCTTTTCCAAGTTGGAGCACTTGATCATCTCTTTTGGTCACCACCATCACCATGACCATCATCTTGCTCCATCACTTGGTGTGTACCACCCTATCTCAATCACAACACTTAATGACAAGGGTTAGTATACTAGGTTTCATCAATTATCCAAAACCAAACTAGGACTTTCACTCAGGTCTACGCCAATTCCATCAATGCCTCAAGCCTTTCAAACAAATTATAGAACCCTCACTAGTGCCAGTGAGAGCTAATGATCTTAGGCCTATTGTCTATGCAATTCTACCACCCTGTTGAGTGACATGTTGTGACCACGTTCGTTTCTACTTGTGACTAACTTATCGCAAAGAAAAAGTTGAACAATGTCCACTGCGCTGCTCATGAGCTTGCTTCGCATGCACATCCGAAAGTCAATGGATAGATTGCATATAAGATATGAAAATCAATATGCTTTTCCATGATTCCATCATGATCTCGGCTGCTAAAACCCCATTCCTCCACTATGTCACCGCCATGAAAGCCATAAGATTTGAGCCATGATCATTGGAATCGATATGTTCTAGTTGGATGTTTTCCCCTCTATTAACACCGATGATGATGCAAAAACTTTTTGATCATGAATATAGGAAAAGTGTGACTTGCTAAGCATAGTGCTACGGTGAGAGAACATATTGAGATGCCGAGATGTAGAGCACAACGAGGAAAGATGACTTTGGTATTGGAAGAAAGTACTCTAATGATTTTTGTGGACACCAGAAAGACATCAGTGTCCACCTTGGATGTCTCTTGTAGATGTGTGTAATACCTGTCATATATATTCCATTTGTTTTCCTTGTTCTTTATTACCATAGCAAACTCCAATTAGAATGTTTATTGAATTCTATACTACCATCTCTTTCCATAGTTGCTCTATATTATTGGATTCTATATATTTTTCCTATATCTTTGATAGGTCAATATGGTTAATGTGGTAGTTTTTTTACCCAAAAGTTAAATAGATTATATTATTTTAAATTTATTTACTTATAGTAATATACTAACTTTTTATTTAGGTGTTTTCCAACATATAGAACCAAAATATTGCTTTTTCTAATATTCAATGTTGCATTTAGTTGAACTACTTATAACTATAATTTATTTATACTATTTATTTAGGTATTATTTCTTCCCAATTTTTAAGAGATTGAGCTATTAATTTTTTCATAGTTTTTATTAAAATTTTGTCTTTAATAATTGTGTTTTACATGGACTCTTAATTAGTTATTTTTCTAGCTCGTATGGAAACCATTGTACTATTTTTTCTAAGTTTATTATTCAATATTTATTAATTTATTAATTGTATTAGGCATGGACTCTTTGGTTTAATCTTAAGCCGTTATAGTATCATAGAATCTAATTAATTAATCTCATAATTTCTAGGTCCTCTCAATGAATGTGGTGGGTTCTTTTAATACTTTAATACTAGGATAATAATAGATTCACAAGATAGTTTGGTAAATTATTTTTGGCAATAGTAGCTCGTCATGTGTATAGAGAAGTCATGACGGAGAACAAGTATAGGAGAATGACAATGGATTACATAAACTTCTATTTCACTAAAGGTTGAATGTGGCAAGATCCACTTGTCTACGTGTGTGTCGTACGTGTGCTCGTATTTTTTTGGATTTATTTTACAACATAATGACTATTCTTTCAATTAGTGGTGGAGCCACCACCTGGCAATCCCGGATAGCCGTACGACCATAGTCTATTTGTTGTTCTAAGAGGATGGTGAATTGAGCTCTAAAATTTAAAGCGACAAAGCATAGCCTATGCAAAATCTAAAGCCCCAAGTACCTTGGCTCTTAAGTTCTTCTAAAAAATACAAGCTGATGAGTCCTTAGGGCCAACAAGCTAAGCATGTCCTTAGCTAAGATCACACTAAGATTAGGGTCCTTAGAGTGCTAAAATGAAACCTAGCTAGCTAAGCACACATTAACATGAATCCTAGTTGCACTCAATGAAACTTGCAAGCAATGAAAGTAAAGCAAGTAAGAAAGAGTAAGGCAAAGAGATAACTGGTTTTTTTTTTTGCCATGGTTTTAGGTTGTTGCCACAACTCCCTAATCCACATTGGAGCACCTAAGTCACAAAGATTTTGGTTATGCTTCGCTGCACTACTGAATACCCGTTCGCTAGTCGTCACTCTGACATGGTAGGTTTCAATACCATGTATAAGCGACCGTTTAAATAAGAGGTGTTCCCTCCATTTTGGTTGCTAAAGCGAAGCATTAGCCATGGCAAACACCCAAGAACGTGACCAGGCTTGGGCGGTATAATGGGAAAAAAACAACAAAACTCCATCAGATCTCTGGCCGAACGTGAACACCTTAATTCTCTTGTTCGGTTCACAGCTGCTTGTCCTGGCAAATCGAACACAACACCTCGAGCACAGCATGCGCTTCATCATCTTTATAAACAACTGCACTGAATTTCCAGGATTCCAGCTGGTCCAATTATGTTGTTTTGTTGATCTTCCACGCTCCCTGCGCGCCCATGTTCCCGCCATTCTGCAATCTGCACCACAGCGGCCCCTCTTCATATACCCCACCGCACTGTACACGCTTCGTCCGCAGCCCAGAGAAGACAGTGGGCAGAGGATGCCTCTTGCCGCAATGGCATCGGCATCCTCCTCGTCCCGCTCCCGGTATCCCCCCATCTTGGTCGCTCTCTTGTGCGCCATTGCCGCCATCTCTCCCTCTGCGGCCGCTGGCCCCGGCGGCGCAGGCGGTCTCGGTCCCATCAGCACCAACGGGAAGAACTACACCAAGGTGTGCGACCCCGCACGGTTCGCGGCGCTGGGCCTGGACATGTCGCGCTTCCGGTACTGCGACGTGTCGCTGCCGTACGCCGAGCGGGTGCGCGACCTCGTGGGCCGCCTCGTGCTTGAGGAGAAGGTGCGCAACCTCGGGGACCAGGCGGAGGGCGCGCCCCGCGTGGGCCTGCCGCCGTACAAGTGGTGGGGGGAGGCCCTCCACGGCGTGTCCGACGTCGGCCCGGGCGGCACGTGGTTCGGCGACGTGGTGCCCGGCGCCACCAGCTTCCCGCTCGTCATCAACAGCGCCGCGGCGTTCAACGAGTCGCTGTGGCGCGCCATCGGCGGCGTGGTGTCCACGGAGATCAGGGCCATGTACAACCTGGGCCACGCCGAGCTCACCTACTGGAGCCCCAACATCAACGTGGTGCGCGACCCGCGGTGGGGGCGCGCCAGCGAGACGCCCGGCGAGGACCCCTTCGTCGTCGGCCGCTACGCCGTCAACTTCGTCCGCGGGATGCAGGACGTCGTCGTCGACCGCCCCTATTCCGACCCGTTCTCGCGGCCCATCAAGGTGTCCAGCTGCTGCAAGCACTTCGCGGCCTACGACGTGGACGCGTGGTTCAAGGCCGACCGCCTCACGTTCGACGCGCAGGTGGAGGAGCGCGACATGGTCGAGACCTTCGAGCGCCCCTTCGAGATGTGCATCCGGGACGGCGACGCCAGCTGCGTCATGTGCTCCTACAACCGCATCAACGGCATCCCCGCCTGCGCCGACGCGCGGCTGCTGTCGGAGACCGTCCGGGGCCAGTGGCAGCTCCACGGGTACATCGTCTCCGACTGCGACTCGGTCCGCGTCATGGTCCGGGACGCCAAGTGGCTCAACTACACCGGCGTCGAGGCCACCGCCGCGGCCATGAAGGCCGGGCTCGACCTCGACTGCGGTATGTTCTGGGAGGGCGCCCGGGACTTCTTCACCACCTACGGCGTCGACGCCGTCCGGCAGGGGAAGGTCAAGGAGGCCGACGTCGACAACGCGCTCAGCAACGTCTACACCACCCTGATGCGGCTCGGCTTCTTCGACGGCATGCCGGAGTTCGAGTCCCTCGGCGCCACCAACGTCTGTACCAAGGACCACAAGGAGCTGGCTGCCGACGCCGCGAGGCAGGGGATGGTCCTCCTCAAGAACGATGCCCGCCGCCTCCCATTGGACCCCAGAAAGATTAATTCAGTGTCGTTGGTTGGCCTGTTGGAGCACATCAATGCCACGGATGTCATGCTGGGAGACTACCGAGGTAAATCTAGCTATGCACTGTACTGCTGTTGTTACTGTGGTCTAAGGTTTTTGGTTTCTACTGTACTTCCTGGAACGGCGACACAGGCAAGCCATGCAGAATTGTGACGCCATACAACGCTATCAGGAAGATGGTGAATGCCACGCACGTGCACGCCTGCGACAGTGGGGCGTGCAACACGGCGGAAGGGATGGGTAGAGCATCCAGGACGGCAACGATCGCCGACGCGACCATCGTCATCGCCGGCCTGAACATGAGCGTGGAGAGGGAGAGCAACGACAGGGAGGATCTCCTGCTGCCGTGGAACCAGACCAGCTGGATCAATGCCGTCGCCGAGGCCTCTCCCACGCCGATCGTCCTGGTGATCATGTCGGCCGGCGGCGTGGACGTCTCCTTTGCGCACAACAACACCAAGATCGGCGCCATTGTCTGGGCTGGGTACCCCGGCGAGGAAGGCGGCACGGCCATCGCCGACGTCCTCTTCGGAAAATACAATCCAGGTATGTATCTTCATCAGAACTTGGAAATGAGCGATCCTTTTTACTGCATCCGCATCATGATGTTTCTCAAACAAACAGGAGGACGGCTGCCGCTGACATGGTTCAAGAACGAGTACGTGAACCAGATCCCCATGACGTCCATGGCGCTGCGTCCCGACGCCGCGCACGGCTACCCCGGCCGGACCTACAAGTTCTACGGCGGGCCGGCCGTGCTCTACCCGTTCGGCCACGGCCTTAGCTACACCACCTTCACCTACGCGTCCGGCATCACCGGCGCCACGGTCACCATCCCGATCGGCGCCTGGGAGCACTGCAAGATGCTCACCTACAAGTCGGGCGCTGCGCCGTCGCCGTCGCCAGCCTGCCCGGCCCTCAACGTCGCCAGCCACAGGTGCAACGAGGTGGTGAGCTTCAGCCTCACGGTGGCGAACACGGGCGGTGTCGGCGGCGACCACGTGGTGCCGGTGTACACCGCGCCGCCTCCCGAGGTGGGCGACGCGCCGCTGAAGCAGCTGGTGGCGTTCCAGAGGGTGTTCGTGCCCGCGGGCGCGTCCGTCGACGTGCCCTTCGCCCTCAACGTGTGCAGGACGTTCGCGATCGTCGAGGAGACGGCGTACACCGTCGTGCCGTCGGGCGTCAGCACGGTCATCGTCGGAGATGACGCGCTGGCGTTGTCGTTCGCTGTCACGATCAACCTGGCAGTGTAGACTTACTCGTCTGCAAAACTAGGCGTTTATTGATTCTTTTTACCGGAGGTAATGACTTTCACCTGGTTCGCTTATGCTGAAATTTAGTTTATGCTAAAATATTATGAGAGAAAAATACTGTTCCATAGATAAAAAATAGCTCAAGCGAACATGTCTTTATTTAAACCATTAAATGTAGCGAGCGAGAAAGTTAAAGCAAGTGTAATTACTTACACAGTGCTATACAAAAGCAGAAGCAGATCGATCCATTAATTGTCACATGGTTCGTATCACTGAAAGCAAAACGGGTGAAAAAATTTACTGTTTTGCGGCAGCATGACACTGACAGTTTGATCTCCATCTTCAATACAATTCTACCACGGTACTGAATCAAAGGTATTAAGTTTGATCAGATTTATAGACAGTTAATCATAATGCTTTTTGTAATAAAGTTAGTCAAAGTTTAAATAATTCGTTGACGCTTTCACATTCGATACTCGAGGGTGGTTAATTTGTCAGAATCCTATACAGTAAAGACATGTGAGGTAGCCATGGATAGGCTGTCGATCATTATGACATGAACTTTACACCGCTTACACACGTGACATCGGTCAGGAATAATTTTGCCTCAGCCTGAAATGCAGCCAAAGGCGGTCCAATCTCAAAGCAGTACTGCCCACTGAGCCCGTGTTTACTTGGGCGAAAGTTGGAAATTTGTCTACTGTAGCACTTTTATTTTTATTTGGTAATTAGTGTTCAATCATGGACTAATTAGGCTTAAAACGTTCGTCTCGCAATTTTCAACCAAACTGTGCAATTAGTTTTTTTCGTCTACATTTAATGCTCCATGCACGTATCGCAAGATTCGATATGATTCGTACTGTAGCACTTTTTGGGAAAAGTTTTCGCGAACTAAACAAGGGCTGAATTCGACACCAAAGATGGCAACGGGCGTGGTGCCCGCGGATACTACCTTCTTACGCCCACGCCCGCCAGCTAAATCTCTCGCCCGCGACCCACCACGGGCAACAAACCACGCCCGCGCCCTACATCCGCGGGCATGCCCGTGTGCCCGCCAGGTTGAGCATATACATAAACCATAGTACATTACAAGAGATATGAAGACACGGATTCATAACAAATCGTGTATATATACATATATTTGCTTTTAGGTCCCACATGTCAGACCTGTGGAGTGGGTCTGGCGGATAAGTGGACGAGGATAGCAAATTTCTTTGTCCGCGAAGAACTATTCTCTAGGTTCAGGATGGTGCCCGCGCCCGTACCCGCGGGCAAGAAGTGGTGCCCGTTTCCTTGCCCATCGGGTTCCATGCCCGCGGGCATGCAGGCATTCTGTGCCCGTTGCCATCTTTATTCGACACTCCAACCTATACTCTCTCCATCCCACATAATAAAATTATCAGTTTCTCACATTTTGAGAGCGCAGACTGATTACCAATTAAAAAAATCATGACTGTGCCTAAGCACACATTTCTTAAGAACGCAGCCGTCTAGACAACTGCGCTATTTTAATAAAGTACAGATTTTGCTTTTATTTCTCATGTATAGTTTGACCAAGACAAATAAAAATTGGACCTACGGGGGAAAGCCACCCGGGCATTGCATTAAGAAGAAGAGCCTTCTCACGCAGGTCCAGAAAACCCCTGAACCTCTGCCCCACTCATACACAGCTGCACCATACCCCTGTGAGAACAGGGCCATTCCCTAGACCTGTGCTTTGGCGTGAAACAGACGAGGGGATTTTTTTAACCCTAGCCTAAAATTCGCTCTCATGGAGAGTCAAACCCAGGACATGAGGAGTGTCGCTGGGACGCTCTAACCAGTTGGACTAGAGGCCCTTTGGCTGACCAAGACAAATAAATGACTGCATTTACAAACTCTATACTTTATTACCATCATGCATCCATATTCATACCTAGATTTAAGGGCCCCATAAGGTAATCCTAAAACCTAAGCTAGAGTTAGCATTCTTTTCTAGAACATTTTTGTTCAAGTCTGCTTTTTTCATATTGATGAAGTAGTAAAAAAAAATCCTAGGTATTTTGATGCGACAAAACTATATACATTAACATATGTTAGGGGCCAAAACTGTAGAAAAGGTGGACTATTCCCTCTATCCAAAAAGAATGTAACTCTCTTTTTTGATGGTTCGATCAATCTCCAAATAGTTTTATTATAAAATATATTCTAGTTTTAATCTAATGGTACTAACTATGCATCATAAATATATTATTCTTCTTATAAATATATATTAATTAAATTTAAAAAATAGTTAACTTCATAGAAAGAAAGATTTATATATTTTTTAGAGACAGGGATTACATAGTAGAGGCATGATGCATTTGTCTGTGGTAAGATCAGAGGCGGTGGATCTCTGCTCATATGTTCGTATGGCTGAAAAGAGCTGCCCATTTCTTACATGAGAAGCAACCCATGGTAGCCTAGTATATATTTTTTTAGATAGAGAAAATAAACCTGGCTTCATCTATTATAAACAAGAGAATCAAGCAATTTATTACCATATAAATAGTAAACTTAATTCTAGCATTATTCGTTCATCCAAAGGTAGACAAGAATTGAACTAACCGCCTTTAGGAAATAAAAATCTTAAATGATGAGCTTTTTGTTGGATTTAACACGCTACAACTATGCCCATTGACGTAAGAAATGTGCTCCTCTGAACATAACATGCAAAAGGATTTTGGGCCAGCAATTGTTCACCTTGTAAATCATATTGTCCAACAAATAGTTGAGCCTCGTATAAAAACAAAGTGTTATTCGGATTGGATCCTCTATTTGTACCACTTACTTATGGAAAAAGGTCATGAACATCTCTCAGAGGTTGTAAGCCTAAAACCAAGTATACACCCTGCCAGAGGAATTTAGCGCAAATTCATTTGGAGAAGAGGTGTTGGGTTGCTTTATCGTGCAACAGAACATACATGGTTTCCTGCAATTCTGGTTTTTTCCTGTGAAATTATCTTTGGTTAGAACAACCCCCTCTTTAGGAACCACAAAAATATTAATTTTATGTGATATCTTTAGAGGCTAAACTTTCTAGAAAAACTTTATGGCTATGTTGATAAGGTGTCTATACATGAAAATTACTTGAATGAACCATTTTTGTTTAACAAGCAAAAAAACTCTCTTTCTACCTATAGATTGGCATTCGCAACTTGTCGGGGTTATGATACCCCGGGCGAAATGATCCAAATTTCCTCGAAGGGAAATCCACAGATTCGAAGTATAACATGATAGTCCCAGATGATCATCCCATCACATTATCAAATAATAGTCGATATCACAGTCATACATCGAATACCTATCTTAAGAGATTACAAATAACAAGGTTTACTCATTATTACATCGCCACTTGGCGGAATCACTCAGAGCAACAGCAACCAAAACAACATCAAGTAGAAAGGTAGCGGACGTCGACTCCATCTTCTCAACCAAACTTGAGCGTAGGAACAAGACCTCAAATCCTCTCAATCGTCTCCCTAGTAATCGTACTCGGGCTCAGAACCTGTCAAACAATTATCAGTACGATTTGTACTGGCCACTGGCTCCCACCCTATGCTTTGCGTTTGCTTTGTGGTAGTGGAATGCAAGGGTAGAGCAAAAGACCTATTTGTGACGGTGGTTTCCTATGCGAGTATGTCAAGTTTTAATAATAAGTCATCAAATTTTAACCCATATCATCCACACGTTCTCCCATCCCATCACACACATCTCACCACTCTCACACTCTCTAGGCGACAAGGATGACTCCCGCTCGTACCTTGCCTCGTCGGCCAAAGCCGGAAACCAACACAAGAACCCAGGGGGAGAGAAGAAAGGACTCCACTCACTAATCAAGGGAAGCATAGGTCATAGGAATATCCATATCCGAGGACGCAGATATACGTATAGATCGATCAACTCTATTGAGCGTGTACACCTAGAACCACAAGATCACCATCATCGGTGGTGCCCCGCCTAGGCTGATACCGGGCTACCTTCCAACCGGTGCGATGCCACCCTACCACTCAGCCCTGGGCCACCCCGGAGTCCATCGAAATGCTAAGACTATGAGACGTAGTATCGGGCCCCAGAGGTCACTACGCTATCTTAGGAGGGTGTCGGCCAAACGCCCGTACCTCCCTACACTATCCACTTCCAACCTAGTAGTAGTGGCACCGTCCTAGCTGGTCAGCATCTATCCCCCGCCCATTTAGGGACGAGTGGCGTGCACGTAGGGTCCTATGATCCGGTTCTCTCAACATACCTGTCCTTAGGGGGACCGGATAGTATATATTCTCAAAGGGGATAACCGACATGCCATGCCTCAACGACGCCTCCATCCCGGGGCTTCATCTCACAAAGACACTCCACTCCGGGATCTCCTCATCTCACATGCACCCGCCACAGGTACCACTCGTAAACATGCACAGGTCGCACCCCCTGGCAAGACTCGTCCAATGACTTATCTTAAGATCCTGTCTGATCGACTCAACCCTCACCACACACCCAAGACGCATGCCAAGATCTCCCTGATTGTTACCACATTATCGGCACCTAGTGCCTTAACCACTCACAAACAATCCTCCACCAAGCATCACATCACAGATATAATGCGTAGTAGAAGCAGTAGCAAGTAAGTAAGCAAGCGTTTAACCTAACAGCAGGTGTGCAGGAGTATAGGTTGCGATAAGGTAATGGCTCACAAGCAATTCTACCATGCAACCTATCACAAATCATTTGCATAAAAGTAAAGCACTAGCATCTACATGGTAGCATGTCTAATAGGATTCTATGAGGTTGGGTGGGATGTGGCACCTGGCAGGTCGTCTCCAAGCTCCTTAGTGTAGTCGGGGTCATGCTCCTCAGTCTATGGATCCTCTGGGTCTGGCAAACGAGGCATATAGCCACGATAAGCGACTCCTATAGATGATCACAAAGAAGCAACCGAAATCCAAAAGATCCAAATGCACTCAAACACAAGCCTATGACGTAGAGCT